AATGATGATCAACAAAATCAAGAAATTAACGGAAATGATGAGACCATTAAAAAAATTCTCCATGGGAATGTTTTTCAGAATTGTAATATTACATTCAATGTGAATAAATGATTTTTATACGAATTTTATTATATGTACACTTATAAATAGCTTATTTTAATAATATAAAGTATAAATAGCTTATATAAAGTATAAATGGTTTATTATGATATTATAAAGTATAAATAAAATATCTAAAAATATAGTATGTTATGATCATATGTACCCGAACGATAATTAAACATTATTGTCTTTAAAAAGTGTTTATTTATTTGTTTATTAATTGAATAAAGTGCGAGAGAGTTATTTTTTAAATGTTTTTGTTGTAAATTAATAAAAGAATAAAATACCATCACGTGCCAGACGTACGAATCTTCGGATTAAATAATAAATTATGCACCCTTTATTGTGCAAGGTTCGTGGCGCAGCAAATTTTTAAAAAACATCATTTTAAAAGGAATTTTTTCTTTGACAAAATTTTTAAACTTATGTTGTATATATAATTTCACCTGCTCTGCAAGTTTACTTAAGATTTGGAAGAAGGCTACGAATGCTGATTATGAAATGATTGATTTTACCGTCTTTGTTGATCGTTTTCAAAAATGGATTCCGTGAAAGAAAAATTTTTTGTTAAATAAGTCAATAATGATATTTAAAATCGCCTTGTCACTCTAAGTAAACTTGAAAAGCAGCAAAAATTACATCTATCTAGTAATTTTTGAAGTTATATGTATTTTCTCTTTATAATTTTCGTTGCGCCACAATTTGCCAGCTGCGCCACGAACCTAGCACACAAAAAAGGGATACAAACAAATGCATAAATTACGTAATGTTTGTATTACTAATAAATTACACATAAATTACATGACAAATAAGACTTTTTTCCTTTCCAATTATTTTGGCAGAAAGAACTACTAAAGCTATGGAGCTAGCATCATCAATAGATATTCCTTTTGCACAATTCATTCGGCTTATTAGAATTGTATCTGAAATTTTTTTAAATGTCACGGATTTATATAATAGGTCATCTCAGCATAATAAAAATATTACCAAGATTTTGATGGAACGTATCTCTATAGCAAACGTCTCTGTTAATATTTTACAAGCGAGAAAAGATTTATTAAATACAACTTACTATAAAAGCTTACAAAGATTAGTTCAAGTTCTTCAGGATATGAAAAAATTTATTGAAAATATAACACAATATAATATAATGCAAAGATATTTAGAAAAAAAAGTAGTTGAAAATGAATTTAAAGAATTATGTGAAAAATATGATAACAGTATTAATGTGTTAAACTTTCACTTATTGGTTAATTTTAAGTTTAATGCCCAAGAGGAAGATGACATAATTATTGGTGCTGTTGAGCTAGCAACGTCAGTTTCTAATATTTTTTCAAATTATACAGAATTATATAAGTCATCTCAGCATTATGATTATATTACCAAGATTTTGAAACATATCTTTGTAGCAAACATCTCTGTTAATATTTTACAAGCGAAAAAGGATTTATTAACCTCAAATTATTATAAAAGTTTACAAGGATTGGATCAAGTTCTTCATAATATGATTAAATATATTGAAGAAATAAAGCAAAAGAATTTAAAGAATAAAATGATCAAAAAAAAATTCCCAGAATTATGTGAAGAATATGATAGTAGTATTAGTTTGTTAAATTTTAACTTATTGGTTGATTTAATGTTTAGCGACCAAGAGGAAAATTATGATACAATTTTTGATGCTGTTGAGCTAGCAACGTCAGTATCCGATATTTTTTCAAAATCTACAGAATCAAATGGATCAACTCAGCATAATAAAAACATTGCCAAGATTTTGACGGAACGTGTATCTGCAGTAATTACCTCTGTTAATATTTTACAAGCGAGAGAGGAATCATTAACTTCGACGTACTATAAAGGTTTACAAAGGTTGATTCAAGTTCTTCATAGTATGAAAAAATTTATTGGAGAAATAGTGCAACATAGTAAAATGCAAATGTATTTAGTAGGAAATAAAAAGATCAAAAAAGAATTTAAAGATTTATGTGAAGAATATGATAGTAGTATTAATTTGTTAAATTTTAACTTATTGGTTGATTTTATGTCTAATTCCCAAGAAAATAAGATTGTGAAAAAAGATATAGCACAACTTATAAAATTTCTAGTTTTAGCAAAAAATACGAACTTGGTCAATGAGCAGGTCAACGAAATTGCAGTAGTTATGCAAATGGTGCAAAACAATAAAAAAGGAAATATAAACCAAATTCAAAACAAAATTGATAATCTGCCTTCATTTCCATACGAAGATTATGAAGAAGCTTACGAAGAAATATGTAGTGATAAATTGAGAAAATATGTTCATGTAAAAACAGAAGAGGAATTTGCCTTTAAAGTTTTGGATCAAGATCATATTAATGATGTTAAAAATCTAGTCGCACTTTTTATGAAACATAAAGTTTGTCAAAATATCATTAAATTTTATGGTCTTACTAGTAATGGAGTTAAAACTTATTTAATAACTGAATGGGCAGAAAATGGAAACTTGCGTAATTATATTCTTAACCGTGGACAGAATATTGAATTAAAATTGAAAATAAGAATCGCTTATGATATTGCTAAAGGTTTGAATTTCCTTGATTCTGTCAAAGTAAGGATTGCATTTTTAATTTATTTCTTTATATATGTATATATATCGTTTTGAACTTTGAAATTTCCTTTCAACAGGTGATCCATCGAGACATTAGATCTGAAAATATAGTAATTACACATCACGATATTGCCAAAATTACAAATTTTAAGTTTAGTAGAATATTTGATGAAGCTACTTGTAATATAGCCATAAACAAAGAATGCGTTCGGTATAGTGCTCCTGAAATGTTAAGAAGAGAAATGACAGAAGAACAGTACTATACTAAATATAATTCAAAATGTGAAGTTTATAGTTTTGGTATTCTCCTTTGGGAGATTGCAGAATGTAAGATTCCATACGAGAAATTTGAAGATATTTTGGAAATTACAAGAAAAGTAGTAGATGGTTATCGAGAAAAATTTACATCTAGTAATGTTATTCCAGAAAAATATCAAAATCTTGTGAATAAATCTGTTGATCCAAACCCGGATTCACGACCTATATTCTCAATGATGTTAACAGATCTTCAGGATATTTATAAAAGTTACTCCAATTCTCTGAATAATAACAGATCTTCTCCCGTGCAAAAAACGACTCAAAGCACAATTGTAGCAGAAGAAGATTATGAAATTAACAGGGACTTAGGCTTATATTATGAAAATAGAGCTGGTACTGAAAAAGATGATGAAAAAAATGAGGTTAAAACATTTGAATTGATTCTCAAAAATGCGGGATGTGATAAAGTCAATTTTATGTCTTATAAGGAATTAGAAAATATTGTGCCACTTGTCAAAGGAGGATTTGGAGAAATTATGAAAGCATTTTGGACTAAAAAAAAGAGTCATGTCATTTGTAAAAAATTAATTAGAACTACTGATTTAAAACATAATTTATTAGATGCATTTATTCATGAACTAAAAATACATTTGCGACTTGATTACTATAATGATAGAATTATACGTTGCCTAGGCATTAGCTTTGGTAATTGTTCTCCGTCATTTATGTTCATTTTATCATTATAATCATTTTATTTATTATAATGAATTTTTCTTTTAGATAAAAATGCAAATGAATATCTTCTTATATTGCAATATGCTAATGATGGTGATCTTCAAAACTATCTTCAAAAAAAATTTGGTAAATTGACTTGGGATGATAAGAAAAAATTAGCATTTCAGATTGCAGATGGTTTAAATTACCTACATAATGAAGATGTTTTACATAGGGATCTAGTAAGTACAATTTTTCATTATTAATAAATATAATGTAATTTACTAATAATATAATTAATAATATTATTATTTTTATCTTTAGCATTCCAAAAATATTGTTATTCATGATGGTAATGCTAAAATTACAGATTTTGGTATTTCAAAAATTCAAAATAGTCAAAAATCAACAGCTTATATTGGTAATTTTGGTATTATTGCTTATATGGAGCCAAAACGTATTCTTGATAGAAACTTTCCATATACCAAATCTTCAGATATTTATAGTTTTGGTGTATTGATGTGGGAAATTTCAAGTGGATGTCCTCCATTTAAAAGTAGTGATAATATAATTACACTTGGTCTTGCCATTAATAGTGGTACTCGTGAAACTACAATTTCTGGTACTCCCGAGGAATATAAAGAACTTTATAAAAAATGCTGGAAACAAGAACCTGAACAAAGACCAGCTATTAGTGAAGTATTGGGTGGACTTGAAAGAATGGGTATGTAAAATATATTTATTTTATTAAGCTACATTAATTATTAATTATATGACTGTTACATAGTAAAATCTTCGGATAATAATACAATTCCGACATCAAAAATGGAGGCTAATCGTGATGATGATTATCTACGCAGTAAGTTTATTAATTAATTTAGTAATAATCAAATATCATTATTTTAAAATAACAGCTAATTATGGTTTTTAAATCTAGTCGATTCTTAATTAACGAATAATTGTATTTTACAAATTAATAAATTAAAATTTTTAAATATGCTATAACCAAAATTGATACATTCAGTATATTAAATTTTATATTATCAATATTTTTAGGAAATTATTTATATTGAGGTATATTTATAAACTGAATATCGGTTATAGATTAATCTCATTTTTCTTTTGCAAGTTAATCATGTGTATAAAAGCGTCCCATATACATTATTATAACCTCCTTTAGGATAAGTCAATAAGGTGTTTTCACTGTAATAAATTTAATTTTTTGTCGTCCCGAGATTTTATAAATACTGTAAATTTAGATACTTGGTTGAGGACCCGAACAATACTAATATAGGTAGGAGCTGAAGATGCGTCGTCATCTTAGTAGCTATCAATATGTTAGAATTTGGGAATGCGTACAATCATCAAAAAATTTTGATAAGGTTAGAATTTGATTTTGCGTAATTTTGATTGGATTTTAGGATGGTAAGATGTTGGTTTTGCCTATTTTTTGGTACATTTTGGAAATAAGTTTCCTTTTTTTGTAATAATTTTACATTTTTAATTTTATTTAACGATCATCTTAAAATAACTTTTTTTTTTTTTCGAAAAAAAATATTTTCTGTATTGCATACATAATGTTTTATTGGAAATATGGTAAAGAGTGATTGGCTAAACATAAATACGTTACTCATATTATTAATGCAAAAAAGTAGCATGTATATGTGGGAAAGAAATCAAATTAAACCGTAGATATGAAGAAGATTATTTAAATAGACATGTAGTATGTTAAGGATGTAAAGCAGACAAAGACAGAGAACAATTTGATACAACTAATAAAAGAGCCAATTAAAATTTTAAAAACTGACTTGAAGTTAGAGGATTAGAATGCGTATTTTGTAAAAATTTCAGGGGTTAGGAGCTATAAATGCGTACTGATCATAGTCAAAAGTGCTGCGTACAGCTAATAGTAAAATTTTTTTTCTGGACCTTAGTATTGTTCGGGGTCCTCTTGGTTGTCGGTATATTAATTTTAGATCTCATTATTGAAAAAGGTTTTGTAAGATGTATCATGATTCAACCGTAACTTTTTTTCCCGGGTTTACCCTATCCGGTTATGTCATCAGATTTTTGCCAAAATGCTGACCGTAATTTCGGCAGAAATAATGTGATGCTAATATTCGGTCCGAAATTATTGAAATTAGAGCATAAATTAATTTGAGTCGTATAATATGCTGCGTCAAATATATTACGAATTATTAGCTGTAAGCATCTCTTACAGGGCTGAAATTATAATAAAATTATCAAAATTATTCGGCCTATTCAAATTTTTTTTTTGAAATTCTTTAATGAAACATTTATTGAAATTTTCTTTATTTTGTATATTCGGAAAGGTCCTAGACAGCTAGACTATTGAAAAAAAAGTAATGCAAAACTTTCAGTTTTTTTTTAACAAAAGTAATGTACTGTACTAAATGTTTCTTTTTTTTTAAATTTATAGGTTTTGGCCAGAATCAGCTCGAACCATTGGATGGTAATATTTCTTTATAATACTACAAAAAAAAAAGCGTTTTTAATAATTTTTTTCCCTTTTTTTGTAGAAATCCATTAAAGTTACTAATATTTAAGAATTTGCACATTTTTTTTTAGATCATATTGACAACATCCCGGTGTGAAGTAAAGGATGATTGCTAGTTACTAATTAAAATAAAATGAACATATTAATATTAAATATAACAAAATCAAGATTATATGATATCTGTATAAATTACTATTAAATTTCATATGCTAAGTGACCCATTAACAAAATGAAAGATTGGCGATATCCGGATATTAAAATACTATACAATCGCTAATGTCAGGTGTTCTATTCAAGAATTGATACGTAATAATTTAACTTGCGAACATTTTTAAAATTTCGGAGATAACAGTTATCACCATTCTTTTATTAACTTATTGAATCAATTAAATATTTTTGTTTTCGTCCACTTCGTCAATTCCGTCTCTAAGACTTTTGATTGGTTGGACTTTTTCACTAGGTATTTCATTTTCGTTAATATTTAAATTTTACTGTATCGGCTAAAAGTTTATCACTACCGATTTAACGGTAAGTTAAAAAAAGTCGCGGTTTATTATCATAATTCACAAATGCACGAGTGAAGTACTATGAATTTCAATTAGAATTTATCTTTCGATGAATAATGATTGGAGTCAATTCTAAATAAGTTACGTCAATAACAATAAACAATATAACTTTCATAAATTTATTATATAATGTACACACTTTATTGATCTATCTATTCGTTTTACACATTTCGACGAGGGCCTTTGTAATCCATCCTTAATTGAATTTTTTGCAAGAATAATTAATAATCCTTAAACCAATATTTATACTACGTTCTTTCTGGTCGTACCGTATTTTTTTAAAATTTTAATATACTAATTTGATAAAATAAAATAAAGTTTTCAGCTACAGAATAGTGTTGAAATTCAAAATCCAGATAATAAATTAAATACAACTCGATATATAAGTTACGAATTTATACTACATGATTAGTATGAAAATAGAAATTAAAAAAGCAGTTCAAAGTATAAAATAATATGGAACATCGGTCCCTCTACTCATTATGAACATTGACTTTCAATAATTTTATCGAAAGCTTAAAATATACTTAAAAATAAATAATGTGTTATAAGAGGTAGGAACTAGTACAATTTTTTATAACCAAGCCTGAAGAGGAAGATAGTCTGTTCATAAATTATCAGGATAATAAAAAAACATACATGAATATGGGATCTTACACGCACACAAAGCAATATTTATATATTAATTTTGCACGTATGGTGCTGTACATACATTCTATTGATATTTGCTAAAGCATTATATAGGATAAAATTAATGTATTAGTTTTTACAGTACAAAATTAATTGGCGGAATTACTAAAAAGTAATTTGTTGCCAATTATAAAATTCGGATAAGAATAAGCTTAAGACATGTAATAAGTTAAAAATTGAATTTGAATCTTATATTCATACAGTAAAGCTTTCAACCATATTAATATTAATAAAATTTGTTTGTAACTTCGACTAATTTATAACTTTGTGTAAATAAAAACAAAATAAATATTATGAAATTTTTTGTCGACATATGAAATTTAAATACCACAAAAACTATCTATTTTTAAATCATCCCAAAATTAAAATTTAGGCGTCATTAAAATATTCAAAAGTAATATAATACATATAGGTCTTTTTTTTTCTTTTAATAAAATTTATATATCGCTGTTTTCAAAATAGTTGAATTTCATTAATCGTAGGTTCAAATCCTTGTCCGTCCGAAATCTAAAAATTTTTTCAGCGTACCGATAAAATACATTTTGTGCTGATATACTTAAATATCAGCAGCATTTTTTAACTTTCGACACGTTATAATTACATTAACTACGACCTCTTAGAGAGTAAGTAATTATAATTCTTTATTAAACTTATCATTAATACTAAATTAAGTTTTAATATTTATAAATATGGAAATAAAAAAAAAGGAGGTAAAATTTTGTTAATACCATGTGAATATTTTTATGAAGTTTACCTAATTAGCCTACAGTAAACACTTTTTAAATCTAAAACGTTATTTATTATTGTGTGAGGCAGTGAGCAAATATAAATATAATTAATACAATTGTAAAAAAATGATTTATCACCCGTTTTATTATCGATTGTCATGTGATCGCATATCATTTGTTCGATACCATCTTGTATTTCCATTTTCTGAAATAAAAGAACAGTCGTATCTGTCGATCTTCAAAAGATTCTGCAGGATTTGTGGATATTTTCCTAATTTATGTTTGTATGGTAAAAAAATTACTTATATAAGAGCCCCAAATTGCTCCAATTTATTCAATCGTTTTTTTTTATCGAACTAAAAAAAATAATAAAAAATGGAAAAAACAGCTGTTTTGGAAACAACCGTTGCCGTAATTAGTCACTCCGATACAATTACTATTGATACCGTTGAACTAATAATTCCTCCTTCTCAGTTTATTTCGCTCATCAAAGATGTATCTAATATTTTGTCAAAAGTTATAGAATTGTATAGGTCAGCTCAGCATAATAAAAATATTACCAGGATTTTGGTGGAACGTATTTCTGTTGCAAGTGCCTCTATTAATGTTTTACATGCAAGAGATGATTTATTAACTTCAACTTATTATAAAATTTTACAAAGATTGGTTCAAGTTCTTCATAATATGAAAGAATATATTGAAGAAATAACACAATATAATACAGTACAAAAGTTTTTAGGAACTGAAATGATTGAAAAAAAATTTAAAGAATTGTGTAAAGAATATGATAGCTGTATTATTTTGTTAAATTCTAATTTATCAGTCAATTTTAATTTTAATACTGAACAAGAAGATAAAATTATAAAGGAAGATATAGTACAACTTTCCAAATTTCAAAAAGTTTTAGCAGAATGTATAAACGATGTGAAACAAAAAGTCACTCACACAAATGATCAGATGAACTTAATCGTTGAGCGAGTCAGTGAAATGGCAATAACTATGCAAAGTATGCAAAGTAACATGAAAAGTATGACGTACACAGAAGACAACAAAATTCAAAAAAGAATCGATAATATCTTTCGTATATCTTCACTACCATTTGAAGATTATGAAGAAGCTGACGAAGAAGGACGTGGTTATAAAATTTATAAATTGAGAAAATACGTTCATATAAAAACTAAAGATGAATTTGCCTTTAAAGTTCTGGACCCATCTCATATTAATGAAGTTAAAAATCAAGTTACAATTCTTATGAAACTTAAAGATTGTCAAAATATCATTAATTTCTATGGTCTTACTAGTAATGGATTAGAAACTTATTTAGTAACTGAATGGGCAGAAAAAGGAAACTTACGTGAATATATTCTTGACCATGAACAAAATATTGACTTAAAATTGAAATTAAAACTTGCCTATGATATTGCTAAAGGTTTGAATTTCCTGAATTCTGTCAAGGTAAGAATTGCATTTGTAATTTAATTTTTTCATGTCAAATTTTCGAACTTTAAAGTATTAACAAGTATAAATGTTATCTTTTAATAGATAGTTCATCAGGATATTAGATCCGTAAACATCGTAATTACAGATCACGATGTCGCTAAAATTACAAATTTTAAATATAGTAGAAAATTTGATGAAGCTAAACATAATTTAGTTCAAAATGAAGACTATGTTCGATATAATGCTCCCGAAATGTTAAGAAGAAGAACTGCGGGAGATTATTCTATCAAGTATGATACCAAATGTGAAGTTTATAGTTTTGGTATTATCCTTTGGGAGATTGCTGAACGTAAGGTTCCGTACGATCAGTTCGTAGATTTTATTGCAATTGCGAAAATAGTAATGGGTGGGTATCGAGAAAAATTTACATCTGGTACCGATATTCCGAAGAAATATCAAGAACTTGTAAATAAATCTGTCGATCCAAATCCAGGTTATCGACCTATATTCTCAAAGGTGTTAACAGATCTTCAGGATATCTTTAGAAGTCTTGAAACACCCACAAATTATCCCAATTCTTTGAATAGTAACATAACTCCTCCCGTACAAAAAATGACTCAAGGTACAATTGCAGCGATAGAAGATTGTGCAATTAATTTGGATTTATTTAACACGGATTGGACGGATTGGAATTCATTTGATTATATGACGCTTGATAAAGCAATTGAATTTCATAAAAAAGACAGCAGCAAATATTATATAAGTGTTTTGATACTTATGCTGAAATTGGTAATCCAAAAGCAAAATATTGGAAAGCTTATTATATTTCAAAAGGTTGGTCTAATCTTGAATGTCCTGATAATGAAAAACATAAAGTGTCTGTTCAATTATTCAAAGAAGCTGCTAGTTATGGTGATGAGTTTCCTGATGCTCAACTCCGTTATGCATTAATGGTTATGCAAGGAAAAGGTGTCAAACAAGATAAAGAAGAAGCGATTAAATATTTTCTTAAAGCTGCTAAAAATGGACATCTCGTAGCTATGTTTGACACTGCCACCTATTACTACTCTAAAGACGAAAATGAATTAGGGAATTATTATATGATAAGTGCTGCTAATAAAGGCTATGAACAAGCAATTAATTATTGCAAAAAGAAAAATATTTCTTATTAATTATAGATTTATTGTATAAAAATTTATATTTGCACTTAATGAGTACTGTACTCTCTACCTTCAGTTAATCAATGTGATATATCATAAAATAATAAATTTACGTTCAAAGATGTTAGAATAATTAGAATAATTTCAATCTATAGTATTTTGAATAAATACTAACAACAATACTATATTTTTAATTTAAACAAAGTGTAGTATGTACGATTTACATATGATTTTGGTGTCGGATTTTGTACAGTTAAATTTTAGCTTAAATTAATTCATATTTAAATCAAAAAAGCATGCAATTTTTTGTATAATTGATAATTTATTTCTTTGATAATGCAAGCCAAAATTACGATGTTAGGCAAAATTATAAACTTGTATAAAATTTTTACGCCCAAAATCACATGAGGAGTGAGGACAAGCATTATGTTTATTTTTTGTTTTTACTTTACTTTTTTTTAACTATTTTCTTTTGCAAATAAAAGCTGAAAATAAAAAAAGTTACTTTTTTAAAATGTTAATTATCAAGTATTTTTGCATAATTACATACTGTTGCATGAGTATTTTTTTCATTATTTCATAGTGTGATTTCAGTATTTTGGATGGTTAAATGAATATGACTTAATGTTTAAGAAAAGTTAATCAGGCATGAAACTACCAAATATTTAATAGTTATTCGGCACTTTTAACTGTTATATTGGGTAAATCAAGTTTGATTGGTTGATCCGGGCTCCGCAGGAGCCAGAGATCAACTGATCAAATTTGATTCCCAAGCTACCTTTAGGTAGCGTTAGTTATTCGGTTCGAAGTGCCGAATAAGTGATTTATCCGTTATCCCGTGATTTGATATTGCCTGATACACGAATTTTTGCCTGATACACGATTTTTTACCCGATACACGATTTATTATAACCATTTTTAATTATAAAAAATCACGTGATACCGGATAATAATTTTTATCAGAATATCTTGATATTTCATATCCGCCGATTGGTAGAATTAACAAAATTAACCTAAATTAGTAATAAAACAAAACAAAATAAAATAATAAAATAAATAAATCACACTTGTGTTACATGATCTTATGATGCAGATATTGAGAAACTATATTAATGATATTAATGATAAAATTTTTTTTTTCTTTGTAAACTCTTTATAAATTCCCCATCAACTTCCTCACCAAGGATAAGTTAAGAATTTTTGCAAACATACATGTTAATTATTATATCTTTTTTTGTTTCTTTTTTAATAGGTTATGAAAAAAAATCTGTTTAGTCAATAAAAATATTTGGAAAAATCTTTTTTTTTTAAAAAAAAAAACTTTATTAATATTATAACAATTCTTGTAATTTTATTTTTATTTATTTATTTTATTTCAGAGAGGAGTAACCAATGACAAATACATAATAGAAGTTAACAACTATAAATAGTGAAAAACTATACTATTAGGGGTGCTGTGGTTATAAATCTCGTAAACAAGACCTCACCCTCCGGGCGGAACTACTCTAACAGTAAAACTACGCTACTGATAAAGGGAGACAAATATAAGAAAACAAAACAAAAAGAAAAAATAAAGAAAAAAAAAAAAGTCCCTATCTAAAAAATCTATAAAAGTTAGTAAGAATCAGTAGGAAGTTAAAGTAGATGATTTAATGCCTGTTGGGCTTATGTGTGAAATAAAAATATATTTTTAAATATATGTGAATTAAAACTGGACAAATCGTCATTGAGAGATGATAACCAGGGTAAATTATGTAAAAAGTTTGATGATGTCAAATAGATCCATAAATTATTATTATCAACTTGTCGTCTAGAGTCGTTAAGATGACAGTGATATCCATTAATATTATTAATGTTAATATAATCAGATTGACGTGATCTGTTGGTTGAATCGTGTTGATGATTACGACGGTAATTGATGAATGATTTTTTAGTGATATCATGTGCTATAACAATTCTTGTAAAACAAATTGTCACAATTTAGACGCATAGTACTGCTAGATCAGTAAATAACTAATACTTATTTGCCCAGTACTTGCCATATATCCTCATATAATTTCAATTTAAGGAACTACTATCCTTTCGAATCTTTTACAGATTCCTTTACCTTACTCCTAGTTAATGTAAATGTTGGTACAGAAAAAAAATCAATATGAAGAAGCAATGGTTAATTCTGCATGTTAAGTATTATAATTCTAGAATAAATATCTTAATAATTGAATTCTTCAACCTCTTTAGCTACTTACCAATTTTAAAAAAATCATCCAGATATAACAAAAGTTTCTTACATGGTTTACAGTACTTTAAGAATTCTTACTAGTTAAATTACGGATTCTAATAAATGGAACACACTAATGTTTAAAGCATCAATATCATTTTTAGAGTAGCTTGTAGGATTAGATTTCGAACAAGTTACCATGTTAGTTAAACGAACTATCTCATTTTTGTTTAAATCATGTAAATAATCAGATTTTCACTCTAAAAAGTATAAAGTTTACATTCGTTTCAGACAATTAAAATAATAACTGTACTAAAAAATTGAGTTAGAAAGGTCCAAAGAAAAATTTATCAGATCTAAAAAATTATAAGTAAGAATTAGTTTAGTCTATAAAAATTATTTTACGTGAAAAGCTTCAAAACTCAAGCTATTGTAAAATGCATAATTAGTTATGACTTGTATTAAAAATAAAATTTTCAGATGATAACTGGAACTACTGTGGAACTTAATATGCCTGCGAAGGCCTACAAATGAAACTGTAATAAGTTAAAATCAAGGTCTTAATTGTTATTTCAAAATGATGCTTCTCCACCCATCACTCGACCAAAAATAAGGTAGAAAAAACTGACTAGACTTCTTATTAAACATATAAATAAGATTCATAAATGGAGTCTATTTACACACGAGAAGAGTTCGAACAAGTTTTCTTTAGAGAAATAGAGCTTTTATTGAGAAAAATTGGAAACATAGTACATAACTTGCCAACGAATGGATAGATAAAGTTTTTAGAAAAATGATAACATCTATTGCGAGAATATAAGTCGAAATATTATGTAGTTAGTATTCATCCAAATATTAAATAGAACATTCATTAATGTGGAGAAGTAATAGAATATACTATAGATATGAGACTGAAAAATTCGGGCTAAAGGCCTGCAAACGGGTCCTAGAACCCGGAAACTCAGAAACTGGCCCGGCACATGTTGTTTCGTTAAACCCGGATTTTCGTAATTCTGGCCGAAATTAATTAAGTTGCCCGATTTTTTTGTTTTTAACTGGGGTGGCATCAGGAATTAAGTTGGCACAGTCTTTAATATTTTTTCAGTTAATATGTTATTTATTGTGAATTGTGTATTTATGTTTTTGTTTGTAATAATGTTGAATATATTAAGAAAAAAAGTCTGTTTATGGATTTTTTTCGCTTTATTATCAATTCTCTCCTCCGCTTTTAAGTATCTACATTTTACAGTATATTAAATTTGTCAGCAACATTTCCCTTTCCAACAAATTAATTAATATTAAGTTTGATACTTTTAAATAAATCATCATCATCTTGTACAGTCGCGTCGGAAAGTATTGCCCGATTACTTACAGATGGAGGTTATAATTATTTAGCCACTATGGTTATCCCAGCATCCAGTGATCAGAGTTTGACAAATTAAGGCTTGTTGGATTCACCTCACCAAGACGAGTCCAATGTTAGTTGAATCATGTCTTTAGGTCCAATAGATGCCGAGATATACCTCCAAACATACTTTACCTGAAAATTTTTCGAAACTCTAAATTTCATAAAATCGGGAATAGCTCACTATCCAGTGATCCAATTTTGATAATCAAAGGCTCATTGGATTAGTCTCTTCGAGACGCATCGAATGGTGACCAGCCCATGTGTATAGTATCGATATATCACGAGATAATGGCAAAAACGTCCAAAATATATTTTAATGTATATCTTAGCATATATTGATCCTAGAGATATGAACCGACCACCATTCAATTCATCTTGACGAGACGAATCCAATGAGCCCTTATTCGCCAAATTTGGATCACTGGATGCCAAGATAATCACGAGTGGCAAGATAATTATAGATTTCATCTTTAAGCCAAAAATCAGCTAAAATTAAATAAAATTGCAACTACTGATTTGCCAACAAATTTACTTGGTTTAAACAAAGTAGAGAACAATTAGAAACGAACCAATATATTACCCAGAAGTGTTGACCTCCTCCCAAAAGCTGTAGGCGAACTTAAAGCTGTACTGAAGAAAAAATGAAAATTTAAATAGTTCTGTTTTTGGGAAGGCTGCCACCCTGGGATTGTGAAAATTTGATGTAGTATGAGAAGCAAACTAGATATAAATTTTTTACTAATGTATATACTGGTGAAAAAATACAAATATTTTTGTTTTTGTCTTCATTTTCAAATCGGGCATTACTTTCCGACGCGACTGTAC